CCTATCCACATTGGACAGCCTCACACACACGTCCACAGACATGAGTGCTATTTAGTTAAGTGCACCACATAGCTTATGGAGGTGTGGGTGACAGGGTCTAGAGGGCATAACCTCCAATCCAGTGTGCATGGACAGCAAGACATCAAATCAAAGGAGAACATTCTTGAACCTAAAATGCAATTCTGTCCTAGTAGGAGATGGGATTCCTAGAACTTTTTGTAATTGCTTCATTCTCTTTGTCCATTTTGGAATTTGAAAGTCCAAAACACACTGGACAATTCAGAACCTCTCAACACTGAATTTGCAAGTGAAACTGTGGTGACTCAAACCTGAAATTTCAGTCATATATGGTTCTGATCACATTAATGGGATTCTTGGACTTAGACCTTAAAATTGATTCTGAATGAGCTAACACTTTGGGGCTATTTATTTGGAATCTATGCATTCCATATAAATGTGAGAAGGATAGTAGTTTGTGTGTAAGAAATGGAAAGCTATGACCTGAATTCATGACTCCTTTACATTCATACATCATAACATAAAGAAAGCCCCAGCTGATATTATTAAGAGCTGGAATTCCTGGCAGGGAATTAGTACAGGAATACTCTATCCTTACAGATAGAATAGGTGCTCTGATAAAATAGGTTTAATAAAGGGAATTTTCCTCTTATTTTCTCTTCTGCCTAGTAAAGAAAGTCTACATCTCTTCTGCCAGGAGGAGTACCTAACTTTGAGCACCACCTCCTACCAGACAACAAATTTCATGGCTCCTTAAGTAGGAACTTTTCATGCCTGAGAAATCTGAATATTCAATTTTCATTGGTGATAGATTCTACGGTAATTTAATACAGTCATGAGAATGGACTCAGACACTTCTACAAGTGTGAATTGTAGAAAATTCAGACACTGTGGCTTCAGTGCTCTTAGCCTTCAGTAATTCATACATAATTTCCATTTTAATCTCATTCTCAGCCATGGCCACCCACTAAACTCTGCCTTAAGTAAAATAATGTTGGTCTGGTTTCTACCCCAAAGCCTGAATCTCCAGATTCCATATTTGCTGTTCGGCCTGTGAAACCAAGTCTTTGAAGTGCTGAAGGGAATTTGTTATTTTTCTGTTTTTTCAAGTTTCGTGTTATTATTGTTTTGGTTGTTGAAAGAATAAGAAAAATGTTTTTAAAATTTCTAAATATGAAACATGACAAGTGGCTTACAATATATTAACCAGAAAATTATAAGCTTTTAGAAACATCTGCAGAGGGGAATTGAAAAATAAATTGAATGTCTATCACATGCTGGGAAATTATTCCACATACAAATCAACGAGTACCTTGTCACACAAAAATATAGAGTTACTTGAAGGAAGATTCTGAGTTAAAATAACAATTTATTAAAGTGTGTAATTTATGTGATATTTATATAAATTATGAGAAATAGTGCTCAAGTACAGCAACATAAAAAGGCTCTGAGCTGAGTGGAAACAGGAAAGAAGGAAGAAGTTTGGAAATGTAGATTATATGGAAACCTTAGGGAAGAATTTAAGGTGAAGTGTTTATGGGCTTGACATTGCTGACAACTTTGTATTTGTTCATGTAGATTAATATATTACATGTTCATACTTAATGAATGAGCAGGTTACTATATGATCTCTTATGAGTGAGGTTACTACAAATGCACAGCATATGTCATTAGATAAATCTGACAGACCTCTAGACAATGACTAAGGAAATGACAGGGATTCATTAACATAACACTTTATTAAGGCTGGGGTCAGAGTGTCCAAATGTTCCACCACAAGTTATGCTAGGTGAGCGTGGAGATAGTATGGCAGGCTGGGCTGTGAGATAAGTCTCATTTCCCCTAAGCATTAAACAAATTCTCGGAATTTGTTGAAACAGTGGTGTCTCCTGGACAACAAGCTAATATCACAAAAGAAAGAAATTTTTTGGTACCAATATTGGGGAAATTTAAAGCCATGTGCCATCTTGAACAGCCCAACTCAAACAGCATACAACACCAGCCTAGGCAGTACAAATTCAGGCTGAAATCCCACCCTGGTGGAGGGCCCCCAGCCTCCTCTCAGCACCCTTCATAGAGCATGGAGGTCTTGGGGCTGCTCCTCTGCCTGGTGGCAGCTCCATGAGTTGAAAGTCTCAGAAGTCTCAGGAGAGGAACTTGGACATAAGATTTATGGTGTGTGTAACTGATGGTGTTGTTCCCGTCCCCAGGTGTCCTGTTGCAGATACAGGAGAAGTTTTTGGTTCCTGTCCCTGAAGCACATGTTGCTAGATTATTTTGAACAGCTGGGTTTTCAGGTTGTTCCACAAGCCCCAGGATTTACACCAATGATGACCATAAGCAAGGGATTAACAAGTCGACAACAAAAAGCACCAAGAAAGCAGAACACTGAGTGGATAGACTTGAAACTAGAAGTTCTGGGAAGTGTTGCCTCATCAGCATCATGTGTAATGAAGCTATAGAGCAGACCAAGACCAGCTAGAGGACTGAATCCTGAGATCCTAACATTGCCTAAGGTGTGGGCAGTGTCTGCTGAAGATGAAACACAGAGAGATTCATTTCCATGTGATGAGGGTCAGGGCAGGGTCAGTCATGTCCTCACTAGAGCTGACTGGTCATATACTTAAAATGGTGCAACAGGATGAAAAGATTGAACTTGAAGTTTATGGAGCTTCTGGAGGATAGAATGAACACTGATATTTTAAAAACTTATAAACTGTGTACATGGAAACAGTTACGTAGTCCAGCAGGTTTTCAGTGCATGTGAAAATGAGGTTTTTACCAGGTTTTTTGCAAAGAGATCGCCATCTAGTTCACTAATTTTTTATCACATCTTAGCAAGAATTTTATCCTTAATTTCCATGTGGAAATTATCAGATAAATATTCAACAATTGAAAGTTGGCAGTGATTTTGTAAGTAAAGGACATGATGATAAATATATTTATTTGAAATATTAAATTGTATCACTTTGCTGAATAATTTAATCCTACCTACTAATTAATCAATAATAATCCTTAATTGACCATGTCCTCTTGTTGGTGACATATTCTGTGTTGCTGACGTAATGTTTTTATTCATTCTCCGTTAATGACTCCTCCATTTTTCCTGCGTCATTCAATCCTCAATCCAGTCATGCTGCATGAAGAGACCCTGAACAGCTGCTCCACAGGTCATCCTGCACTTCATGCCATCTTTTTCTGCCCCCGTTCTGCTGGCCCTGGCCAGGCACAGCCTGGCTCAGCCTCAGGCTAAAAGTCAGCTCTGTCTCTGCTCCCAGAATTATCACTCTAGTTCCAAGATCTCAATGGACTGTGTTCTCCTGATGGAGATCAGGGTGCAGGACACACAGTGTAGTCATCTCAGGATAGATTCATAACCCAAGTCACAGGGTGTAGGGAAGACAGAGTTCCCACGTGAGGAAGTCTGTCCATTCTTAAGACAATATCTCCTCTCTGCTGGATCATCCTTGGGTAAGCTGCAGCTTCCAAATATTAGACAAGCTGTAGGACCTCAGTGATCATAGGAAAACAAAATAGAACTGTTTTCCTGCATGTGAAAAAGTATTCACCCAGATAAGTCCTCACAGTTTAGTCATTAGGATGATGGATTTTAAGCTGCAATACCTCATTCACTGCAGCAACATTCATAATGAATAAGATAGAGAATCAACACACATCCATCAGAGGGTGAGCAAATATTAGTAATTTGATATGTATACAATGGAGTTCTATTTGCTCAAATTTTGAAGTATCCTCTATCATTTGTGACAATATGGATGAACCCTGAAACTATAACATAAAGTGAAATAAGCCAGGCACAACGTCAGTCATATTTTTCCACTTACCTTTGGAACATACAATACTTGTTTCTTAGTGAATTATGGAGTAGAATAGAGGTAAGCACAGGCTGGATTATGGAGCAGATGTTGGTGTAACTACATGAAATCAACAGATCACCATTGTTCATGCCTGTAATCCTATCTACTCAAAGGCAGAGATGAGGAAGAACATAGTTACATGCCAGCCGGGGCCAAATGTTAGTGAGAATCTATCTCAACTCACAACTTCCAAATGGTGGCAGAAAAGTGTGATTCCAGCTGTGTGGGACACTGTATGTAGGAAGACAGTGATCTGAGGTTACACCCAAAAAACTCAAGCCCCTACCTGAAAAATAGCTAAAGTAAAATAGGACTGGGGCATGGGTTAATTTGTGGAAAACCTGCCCAGCAACGAGAGTCCCTGAATTCAAACTCCAGGCAACCAAACAAAAATCCTTACATTTCACTGAGACATGAAGAAACATTTCAAAGGACCTACTTTACCACATGGCAATTATTGCAAGCAACCTTTGGTTATATTCTTTAACAACTGCAGAGAGAGTAGATTTTGGTTCTTACTTATAGAGAATTATGTATGCATTATTCATTCACTTACCTCTATTGTAGTAGTTTTCATAAAACGTTAGCAATTTAAAAAAATTAAGTGTCAACCCCATGTGTGATAAGATTTGTTAAGGATATTAGATGAGCATAGGAGTGTGAATGTGAGAAACAAAATAAGATAATGTGTTTAGAAATTTTGTCACAATCACAAAACATGATTTCATTTATATTATCTCCATATAACTCCTCAGATTCATCTCCTCTGTGCACTGTCCTTTCTGAGACTTTCACCCAGAGATTGCTATACAGCAGGATGGCATGCAAATAGGGCCTCCCTGTGCTTATGAAAACCAGCCCAGCCCTGAACCTGAATCACTGGGAGAGGAGCCCAGCCCTGGATTCCCAGCTGACCACATTCAGTGATCAGTCAGGAACACGGACCATTTAATATGGACTTGGGAATGAGCTGGGTTTTCCTTATTGCTACTTTAAAAGGTGACTTATGGAGAACAAGAGAACCTGAGTGTGGGAGTGGACATGAGTGGGAGGAACAGTAATTATGTGTGAAAGTTTCCTGATTGGGATTCTCTGTGTTTGCAGGTGTCCATTGTGAGGAGCAGCTGGTGGAGTCTGGGAAGGATTATTGCACCTGCGAGGTATCTGAGACTTTGCTGTGCAGCTTCTTATTTACCTCCAGTAGCTCTGGGATGAGCTGAGTCTGCCAGCAACCAGAAAAGGGTAAAGGTGGTTTGGACAAATAAATGGACATAGCAGTAACACATATACCATATCTCCATGACTGGGAGTCAAGAGCACATTGCTTCTGCAAAAGAACAGCCTGAGAACTTAGGACATGGCTGTGTATTATTAGGCCTGAGACAACTCTTTGGACTTCAGTGTGTGGACTTCAATGTCATCCCAGACACAAACCTCCCTGTAGGGGAGAGAGCCCAGGACCAGCAGAGGTAGCTCAGCACCAGATGGACACTTTCTGGATGCCCTGATCTCAGGGTCAAAATCATGAGAGGTGCAGAGAGAGGTCAAGGGATGATTTCCTGTCAGAGTCTGTACCTTACTTTTTATAAAATAACTACATGCAGCATGCAATAATCTCTGCTTCTTTCTCAAGTGTCTGCATTATAAAAGTCCCTTTTAATTGAACACATCCTCACCTTTACAAAGTCCCTGTGTTCTGTGTTGGTGTAGAAGTACTTCTGCTGTAGTCACTGTGATGAGATTCTGAGAAAGTTCCAGGGATTCTGATAAGATTTTATTCAAACTGAAAGGAAAACTGATAAGACAATCTTTGAATCCATTTGAAGATTCACTTCTTAGACTATCCAGGCACCATGACCACTAAAATAACTTTTATGTCCATTTTCATCGTCCTTTATATTTATTATATGTAGCATTACTACTTGCAAACAGATGCCATTGTCTCTTTTTGACTAATTTTATTTCTTCTGAGACATTATTCTCACGTTTGTATTTTTTTCCTCAGCTGCACAGTTGTTAAAAATGACATTATTTTCTAAACCCAATAGCCAGAACTTTTACCTTGAACTCAGATGAGGCTCAGGTATGGTTCCTGAACTCACCCAGGAGAAGCAGAAGCAGCTTTCTCGCTGATCATTGACTGGACACTCACAGTGTCCCCTCTACAATGACAGAAAAGGATAATACAGATGATCATGAGCCATCAAGGGTCCAAATGATATGTTCAAAATGCAAAGTGGAATAAAAACTGCTCTTGTCATCTCTCACAAAGTCAGCTCCATAATATGAATCCTGGAAAGACATTCTGATAGACACTAGGTTACCTTGATCTCTCAGGAAATGTGATGGGGGCTTGGACTGTTCAGATCTCATCGGGCTTTCCGTGAGAACAAGCAGCCTGAATGTGCTGGGCAGGGCCTGAAACTGTATCTATCATGGAACTTGATTATTTCAGAGGTACAGAAGGGCCTGGGAGGTTGGGGAAATGTACCTGACTGATGTGGTACACCTATGATCCCATGGGAAGGAGGTGTCTGGGTGGAAATTTTCTGAAAATCTGTACTTTCTGTCCTGGGACTGCACCAGCACCCCTTCTGGACTCAGTCTAGAGCTGTGAGCATGGCTAGGTCCTGTGTCTTCTGCACAGGATTAGGGATATAAGAAGGCAGTCAGACCTTTGTGGCTTGACAGCCCCTAGAATGTGAGGTGGCTCACATTCCATTATGGGATGAAGATCACCTGAAATCCTGTAGGTTAAAAGGCTAGTGTGCTGAGAAGATAATTATGGAATTCTGTGATTCCTAAACATTTTCTGACATTCTATAATGCAATATGGTTGTAGAATCCCAAGATGAAATGGTTGATAGAATGAATTTAAAATTTTGGATGGAAGTAGGAAGATTTGAAAAGGACTTTATGAGAATGGATGTGAGACAATCTTAAATAGAAGAATAAATGTTATATAAATCAGGAATCATGTGACCTTCCTAATGACAGGGGCAGAGCTGTTTTCAATTACAAATCCTTTGCTTAAAACATAAATATTGATCACCTTCCACACATACAATTTAAATACATAAGAGCTAACTACGTTCATGTTCTAACAAATCAAATTTGTAAGTTACTCTAGCCCAACCCACAAGAGCAGCACAGATTTCTCTCCCATGGCTTCAAACATAAGATCTCTCTCACTTTCCCCTCTCTCCCTTGTGGTCCTCCACCCTAGCTGGCACAACCACTCCATGTACCTTCCCTGACCATAATAACTTCATTATTTTCCTTACTACATCTACATCTTCCACTTGGATTATATCCATGTAGGATACAAGAATCTAGGTGTGTCTGACGCAAGCTTCCAGAGACTGCCTTGTACAGTTGCAGATGTATGTCCTTCACCTATAGATACTATTCAGAGGGACATTATAATACCCAAGTAACAGCCTTTCTAATATTGTGAAGAAAAATGCATAAGTCATCCTTCTAATAGCATCAAGTAGACATGGTTAAGTGCTTTACTGTATGATTGTCTGGACCTGCAGAAGTTTTTAATATGAAACCACACTAAGAACCTGATCAACACACAGTACCGCTCTTCATCTACACTGATATGAAGAATTTGAATAACTACACCAATCTCTGTGTGCACAAATCCCTGTGTCACTCAAGGGACTGGCAGAGACCCATGGACAAGAAATGAGGAGGAAGTGAGGGGGATTATCAGTGGTCCAGTTCAGAAAGTGTTTCAAATGTAGCCTGCAACATTGGCCAAGAAAGATTTCTATCATTTCCTTAAAAACATGGAAACCTGGCACTGCCCTTTTTCTACTTGTGGATGCAAGTGCTTACAGACTTTATTTGGAGCAGAGAGAGGCTTCATCCACAGAGAGATTTACCCCTGCAAGTAATATTTCTCCAGAGTCAGCTTATGTAGAGTGTCCTCCACTGTCTTCACTTCAGTAATCCCATACTACCCACTCTATCTCTCGTTACTTAGTGAAGATTAATATCTGAATTGTTTAAATCACCCTAGATTCAAAATAAATTCAACATCATGAGTAGGTCCAGACTTTACTTTGTACAGGGCAAATAAAAATTTATTATGACTGTGATGATTATTGTGATGAAAGGGAGATGAATGTAAAACTGGGCTTCAACTCAGGTCATTGGAACTTCCTACGTATTTTGTGAAGGCCCTTCCCAAATGTTTACTATGGTTATGTCTTCCAAAAAGCAAATGATTTAACAGCTTCTGCAAGCTACTTCTTGGCTTTAAGAGTATAGATAAGGTGGAATGGGAAAAGCATGACCAGAGAACAATGAACAACATGATTGTCCACACCCATAGACTTTAACCAATATACTTGTATTCCCTGATCATCACTCAATGGGGACTCTATCAGAAACATAGTAAAAGTTCCATGTATAATTAGAGACATGATGAATACAATGCAAGACTGAGTCCAGGACTTGATGAATAACACACTTAAGACTGATTTCATGATAAAAGTCCAGGATAAGATAACTCAAGACTCATAATCCTTCATGATCATGGCCACATGTGTAATGTCCATAATCATATGGATATATGTCTATATAACTATCAGTGCAGTGGGTTTGCTTGCTCCAGCCCCACCTCAATCCCCTGCAAAATGCACTAGGTTATGACATTATAGCAGCTGAGAGGGGACTAGGTGATAGGAAACTTTCAGCTCCATTACAATCTTAGGAGACTATGGCCTTACATGTAACCATCATTGACTGAAGGTGTGTTATGTGTCACATGACCATGACAGTTAAGTGATCATGTCATGATGTGGACAGAATCATGGATGATGAAGGCATTCTGTTGAGAGCTCAGATGGAAATGAGCAATAGTCTCTTGGGAACTACAAGACAGGACGTCCTAGTGTAATGTGGTACATGACATGGCTGAAGTGTGTTCATGCCATCCTGTGCTGTGGATGTCAGAAGTTAAGGCAGTGAGACAGGACATGTGACAGAATATATCTCCAAACACAGAGTGAGAGGATGTTACTGCTTTCCCTGATTTCTAGAAAAAAATACAGTTAAGAAGAGAGAAACAGGACAAGTATGGAATTTAAACCCAAATGGAAGTCAAACTTACAGATCTGGAAAGTCTCAGCCTCTCCATGTTGTAAAGAATGGAGAAGAGGGAGAACAGGATGGGAGAGATTTGGAAGTCCATATCCAGAGTTACTTGTGATGAGGTGACTGGTGTGGACAGAAGGTAGCCAGGTGCTGTTCATTAGGATAATGGAAGAATGACTCAAAGGCTCTTCAAAGGCTGTCACTCCATCACAGAACCACAGTACATGATTATGAGTGCAAGAGAGCATCACAGGTGACAGAAAGCAATTCAATGAATTCGTGCTTCACTGAACTCGATCAACTGTAGGTTCTACCTCACACAATCCCATACCATAGTCATCACCCTCCCATGGTGAGGCTCCAGTGTGTCCAGATACAGTGTGGGATTTGACAATTGTCCCTGCAGAGGACAGAGTCCAATAACTTTAATGACGTCCATCTGGTGCTCACTCTGCCACTCTACAGTATCCTAGAGCTGTGAAGCAGGGAAGCATCGTTCTAGATTTCCAAGTATTGCCATACAGCCTCAGAGTCAGGCAGAGAATCACTGCTGATATGGAGAGAGTGCAGAAATCCTCCATGGGGACAGGGCCTCCTGAAACCAGCCCTGTAGATGCTTCATTATGGAAATTAAGCCATGAAGAAACCAGCTCCCCTGCATGAGTCTCCTGAGTGAGGTATGCACAACAGAATAAAGGGTGAGGCTGAAATATTTGTGGGTTTACTGCCTACTGCAGTATGAATCAATAGAAAACTGATGTTCAATGTGTGACCCTGAATTTTAGGTTTTTAGGCTTGTTAATCTATCTCTTCTTTTCCCATCATCTATTTTAATTGGGGTGTCAACAAAAAATGCCAAAAGGGGAACATTCCTGCAGTCTCCACCACATTTGATTTAAGACCAACTTTGTACATCATATTACTAAGCTTAGATTTTATATTTGGTACTTGAACAAGTTCCTTTGTGACTACTGAAACAGAGGAATTCATTCAATGTGTTTAATAGACTTGAATTTTTGAGGTCCACTGTGGGAAGCATGTTTTGAATACA